GGCAACACAGAATTTGGCTATTGCACAGTGATAAAGGGCTTCAAATCTCCTAGAAGATGGTTCACATAGAAATTGTCTGGTCTTCCTGGAAATTTACATATCAGGGGCAGAATATAAGCAGGCCTGATATCCCTGTAGAGTTTACAATGTAGTAATACGCGCATAATGGTTTCGACCTCTTTGTCGCCACAGGGGCAGGTACGCTTAGCTAATGGGGTTCTGGAGTATCTGCCTTGCAGCAGTGCGGATGGTAACATGTCATGCCTGGCTTTGAAAAATGCTATTCTCAGCTTGGGGAAAGTTAGATTTTGTAGATATATTGCTGCTTCCCAAGTGCCCTTATTTATTCAATTTCTGCCATGTTGGGGCAGCCTATTAACTTCAGTCTGAAATTCCATATCCCTTATTCTTTGAGTGAACAAAGAATATCACTTCTTGGCCTTTTGGCTAAGATCAAGTGTAGTATCTGGTTCAAGTCTAAAACTCTGTCATTATTTTATATTTAGGATATAATGAATGATTAAGGTGTGCATGCCAACACTTGATATTTATTATGATTGGAGGCATCTAGCCAAGTGGTGCAGAAAGGATTCTACAAATATTTGCTCTCCTTTAATTTCTGACCAGAAAGCAGATGTATGACAAACTTTCTTCTGTACCATGGGAGCAGCAATAATGGATAATCCATTTAAAATATAGCCATATGCAGTCTATGAACAACTGTCTATATTCACCCATGTCATAGGGCAAAGTACCTTGCAGTATCAGATATTTAATTAAAGAGAAATATGATCAAGGACTGCTCAGTGACATACTGTTGATGAAACATAATTCAGATACTGATATCTGAATTCTATATCGTTTCACCAGTCAATAGTGCAAATTATGTTGGCTACCCATTGGCTTTATAGATGTAATGAACTTATGAAATTGTGCTGGTCAAATATGAGTAAAACTACAATCTTGATTCAGAGGCAGTAATTCACTATGTATTAATCTGTGACAGCAATCTTCTCCAACATGGTCCTCAAGATGTGTTAAACTTCAGTTCCTAAAGAAACAATCTGAAAAGCAATTGCAGTCATAATATTCAAGAAGTTTACATTACATACATAATCAAAACGTGAAGAATTCATTGTCAATGTTAGTGCATTTTTAAAATATAGGGGACTTATGCTAAAGTGAATGTTGCATTTAACTATATTCAATTCATCACCTTAAATAAATTACATTATTTATTAATTTATGCCTTCTGAATATTGGATCCATACTCCTAGGATCTGAAATCAAACTGATCTTCTGTTTTTGTTTTGGTAATCATTTTGAGCAAGGAGTCTAAATGATCTCATCCTCTGGGAAACACTTCTACTAGTTATTCTACTAGTTAATTATTTCTGTTGTACATTTTGTCTAATTTGATTCTATAACTTTGAACCTCTTGACATTAGATTTTGACATGCTCTTATAAGAAGTTTGAAATATCAGAGGACTTTTCGTGGGTTCCTCAATTGAAAAAGAGGCACAATAATTACTGGAGATGGCATTTATCCATCACCAATATCTTCACATTCTTTTCTTCCATAACCCTTAGATACTAGTAATTACTCTCCAGATCTCTCTTACATAACTCACCACTTCATAGCTAGTAGAACCAATGAGGACACCAACATAATTGCCAGTATCATCCTAATGCACAACTTGGATCATACTCATAGCAAACTAATCTTGGCCAGGGAGATTAGACCTGAGTCATACAATTCCCAGAGGTTGTTGTTTCTTTTCTTTTCTTTTCTTTGTTTGAACTCAGAAGGTGTTTCTGATTAGACGAGAAGCTCTAAAATTTACCACCTGTGCCCTGTCCATATTCTGATAACTTGCCCACTATCCCAGATTTCAGATTTATATTTACTTAGTCTTCTCGCTAATTTCAACCTACAGTCATGTGAAAAAGAAAGTACACCCTCTTTGAGTTCTATGGTTTTATGTATCAG